CATGACTGTGACCAAAATTCCTGACAATAAGAATTTAGAGGAGGGGAAGTGTATTTGTGGTTCAGGGTTTCAGAGGTCTCAGTCCATAGATGGCTGACTCCATTGCTTTGGATCCAAGATGAGCCAGCACATCATGGGGAAAGGGCTAAGCAAAGGAGAGCTGCTTAACTCACGGTGGAATCAGGAAGCAGAGAGAGAAGGGGAATGGGTCGCAGGAAAAATATAGCTTTCCATGGCATGCCCCCTTGACCCACCTCCTCCAACCATGAGCCATCTGCCTACAGTTGCCACCCAGTCTATTCAAACTAGAATGAACTGATTAGGTTATAGCTTTCATAATTTAATCATTTCACCTCTGGAGATTCCTGCATTAACAGAAGCTCTAGGGAACATACATTGTATGCAAACCATAACAAACTCCTTATGAAAAAAGGAAATTATCTTGGGATCCTGTTATAACTACTTATATAATATACGATACCTGACAAGCAATCTCAGAGAAAACAAAAAGGCCTTTCACATCTTACTGACTTTTATGTCTCTTGTAATAAATTTATTGAACAGACCGGGTTCAGAAGAAACATTTTTTTTTTCCTCCAGCCTTTGCCTTTAAACATAATATTATTCCTAAGACTGTCCTTTCTCAACCCTTCATGGTATTATAGATCCCATGGGTTTCTAAGAAAGTCTTCCTTTTCAGATGTAAAGACTTTAATCAAAACGTTAATCTCAAATCCAATTAAAAACTTCTTTTTTTCCTATCTTTGACCTGCTATAGAGGTTGAGAACAAGGAGAGAAGGAAATTATTTCACTTCCCCACCATATCCTCCTCTTCTCATTCTTTAAGTGATCACAAGTTGAAGAGGGCAGGAGATATTAAAAGTAAAAAGTCTAACATCTTATTTGGCGTGATTGTACTATGGCATCTGTGCCCTCTGTCAGGGAAGGGATCCAAACACAGATTGTTTCCTGTACTTTAGAAACCTGGAAAGATTTCTTCACATCATTACTCCTTGGTAAATGAGAGACATTCATCTGTAAATGCCTCTCAGCTCTGGCCCGCTATGGAACCCCCATTGCCTCTTTGTACCCAGGTCTTCTCAAAATCAGAAGAACTGATCTTAGTGGACTGACCATGGATAATATAACTGTCATTGGAAGTCCTTATTTCTCAGAAGGAGCACATATTGTTCAAGCTGCCATGATGTTCTAAGTAGTACACATTAGGGCAAGAGTAAACCTTTATGGGATAAATAAAACCTTTGGTAATCTCAAACTCTAGATTTCAGAATTGTTATTCATCATTCCATTGTCATCACTGAACAGTAATTGAACTTTTTGTGTGAGGAAAACTGTATTATAAAGGCAGAGGTGGGGCTGGGGATGTGGCTCAAGTGGTAGCTTGCTCACCTAGCGCATGAGACACTGGGTTGGATTCTCAGCACCACTTTATTTTATATGTAAAATAAAGATATTGGGTCTACCTTAAAAAAACTAAAAAATAAATATATTTTTAAAAGAGGTAAAAGAAGAAGTTTAATAATGAGGGAGAGTTTATATTTGGTGCCAAGTAAGCAAAAGGAGGCAGCAGATGTATCAGAAAGGGGAGCAACTTCGGGGAGCAAAAGTCCATGGCAAGTTTAGCATCTGTGCATGCAGCTGGAGAGGCGCTAGGTCTTAGAAGGAGGATACTAAGGCAAAGTCCTTAACAAGGGAATACAGAAAAAAGAAAGGCAAATGACACTAGCAAATATGAGGGGCATTTTTCCCAGGCCTGAATACCTCCTATGCAAATGCTTGTATCTTATGCATGGGCATTCAGGAAGCAGTGAGGAAATTTCATATAAATACTTGGAGAGTCATTCAGAGGCAGGCCTTAAAAAATCTTGAATACTAGGCTCGGAAAGATGCAAAAAGGTACAGTTGACGTTTTTGACCTTGTGTGTGTTGCATAGTAGGAACAGGGGTGGGGAAGAGAGAATATCAAGCATTGAATAAAATCTGTATTGTGTCTAATTGGGAAAAAACTGTATTCCAGGCACTATTAGGAATTCACAGGTGGTGCCAGTCTCCTCGGTGTCACAGGCATTCATTAGGATCTTGGGCATTGTGTGAAAGGTAGAATATTTACTTTCCATTTGCTAATGATCTGGTGTGAATTGGTATACACATTCAGGTACCAGGCTGCTGCACTCAATGTGTTACTCTTAAATTAACTGCTACTACCCCTGGGCTTCTATTTATTTGTTCCCCAAATCCAGAAACATAACTTTTTAAATCTTCTCTCCATTTGTTGTGAGTTATCATTCAGCACACTGTATGTGAATAATGAACACTATATAGGGAAGAATATTTATAAGTTGGACAATGCAGGTGCATCAGCCTCTTAGTGCCTTAATCATGTATCTAACTTAAGATCTCTCTTAAGATCCAAAAATTTCCTTGTTTTTAGTCACAACTTCTCAATTATTCTTTCTAATGTATCTTCTTTTTATATTCCAACTTTTGTTTTTCCAAATTAAAACTCTGCTCCTTTAAAGTTTATCTCTTGGTCTCTTTTCTTTTCTGCTGGCTTTTGGTTTGGTGCTCATTAGCAGTATGAATTTAGGTAAATCATTTGATCTTCTTAGGTCTGTTTTTCAGTTAGGTTGGATTGAGTAATCTTGACCTGTCTTTAGTTTAAAATGAAATAATGTATGTAAAGTCTTTTCATGAACCAGTGGGTACCACAGATATGTAGGGTAGCTTTCATTTGTTTCTATTTTATTTTTTTCTGATTTCTGGATCCCTTTGATTGCTTCTAATACCCCCATCTCATGCATGTCAAGGGTAACTTTTCCATTACACTTTATTCAAAAGAAGATAGCAAGAGTATGAAAAGTATGTAACAGCTTCTGAAATAGTATCTGGGTGTGTGACAGGAGTGGGGTCGGGTGGGGGAAGGTATTCTTTTCTTGCCTGTTCTCTATTTATATACATATGGAAATAACAGTTTCTATTTTTTTCCTGCTGAGATTTGAGAGGATTCAAGAATTCTCTGGACATGGTACAAATGACACATTTAAATGGTTATTGCCCTACCCATTCCAACAGGATTCTGAGTCCTTGGAACCCACCTCTATCAGCCTCCAAAGCATTTCTGGGAGTCCCTGGTCAGCTATTATAATGTCAATAACTACCTCCCCTGCCATTTTCCACTCAGTCTCACTTCAGGTAGTTATGAGTTTACTCCCCAAACATTACAGCATCCACCAGTCTCCATCTCACCTTTGGCTGCAGTTGAACCACTGAAGCCCAGGTGATGCCAGGGGTGTGTAGACTGCTGCTACAAGTGGGGCAGTATGCTTACTTGCCATGCTGTGCAGGAATGCTGTGGAGAGATGCTAAATGGCACAAAAGTCTTGGGTGAACGTAGTCTTTCAGTTTTTTTTTTTTTTATCATACTCACATTTTCATATGAACTTAGTATAGAGAGAAATCTGAGTGATAGACCCAAAGTTGAATCAGAATATCCACTCCTTTTCAGGGACCTTTCTTTCACAGTCAAACTTGAGATACTTGCTTTCTTTTTATTGCAGGATGATTTGCTTTGTAGAGGTGTTTCTTTAGTCTTCTAACAGTAAAGCAAGAAGTTCAGTTCATTACTCATATCCAACCTGCATTAAACGTGGAAAATTTATATTCTCCATCCCTGGCACCAGAATGTTATAAGAAATATAATTGTCTTTAGGAAAAATACCTTGATGAGTGCCTGGAGTAGATAGAAGTTGAGATTCAAAGGCAGGGGGTTGAGCGTGACCAAGATACTTCATTGCTTGTGGGTGAGGGAGAAAAGCAGAGAAATAAGGTAGAAAATGAGATGGGGAGGTTAGATTAGACCCTGCAGAGGAAAGGAGTATCAGAGAAACCTATTGGGTCATGGAGGTAGAAATGACTTTTAAACAACAGTAATTTATTATAAGTATTGTATAATGGATTACTGTGTAATTCTTTTTTTTTTTTTCATTTGGGGAGGACATTGGACTGTTATGTAGCACAGAATAAAAGAGTATAGAAAGTCTAAGCCAACATCAGAAGTAAGAGAAGCAAGAGTGGTTCCCAGCCATTTGGGTTATGTATGTTAAATAATAAAGTTATGTTTCAATATGGGGATCTTTCCAAAAAGTTTATTCCTACTTATAGTATGATGGAGAGACAAGAATCAAGCCAATGTAAAACCACGTTATTGACAAAATTAAATCATCAACATTTATTGATGTATTAAGGATGAGCTAGATTGGCTAAGTAGCCTGCAGTTCTGGGGAACAGTGAAATGAATGTCTTGACAAATGAAATGAATTAAATTTTGACTGAAAGTTTTAAAGGATTGAAGGCACAGCATTTGGAAGAGAAGCAGATAAGGAAGGTGATTTGTATTAGTGGATAAAGGTTCAGAAACAGAGGAGGCGAGAGGGAGAGGGAAAGGAGAGGGAGGGGAGAGAGAGAAGAGAGAAGAGAGAAGATACAGAGCAGGTGCACAAGGGCAATGGCTAGACTTTTCCTTGATTGAAATTAGAAAATGAATTAAAGGCTTATTTGGGAAGCATTCAGGGTATGGGAAATATATTCTTGGGATGAAAATATTCCTGTTAGTTTGTGAAGAAATCGGCAATTATGACAAGGATAAAATGATGGTTGCACAACATGGTTGGGACTGGCATGCATAGAATTTACTGTGTTTAAGATTCCAGATATGACATAGACTAAGAAGAGATGGGGCAGTCATGAGAATGTTGGGATCAACCTGGGGATTGTGGACGCAAAAAGAAAGGAGTGGAACAGAACAGAGAATGAATTTTTTATTTAGAGACAAATGGCTGGGGATGACAGAGAATGAGAGAAAGGCTTACATTCATGGTGGACTGCAATCACACAGGAGATTATCAAGAGCAATGTGGGCTACCAATATTGACTGGATCAAGGCAAACTCCCATTTTCCCTGAGGTCAGTACCTGGCTTCTCAGGTAGCCTCTGGGCCCAAGCACTTCATCTTTAGGACCCTTTTCAATGTAGGGCTGCTCAGCATCAGTGAAGTAGAATGAATAGAAATTAGAGCATAGATGATGGCTTCCCAGAGCCAGTACAAAGATCCATTACCAGATACTGTACTTACAAATTGGATTACTAAGATCAGAAAATAAGAGGTGAATACTATGAAGAATGTAGCAAGAGACTTCAGGGCAGTACGGTGAGCTTGCGTGCTCGAGTTGCAGTGGCCAGAGTTATGTTGTTGCATCTGCTCCCTGTGCCGGATCAGTGAGGCCATAACTAAGACCATTGAGGCCAGGAACAGGAGGAAGGGAACAAGCAGCACACCAATTGTTTCAGCTTTGAAAAAATACTGCTCAAACAGGTGAAATCTCTCAGTCCAAGTGCTGTTTCCGGATAAATGCTTCATGGTGATTAATTGCATCTGTTTTTGATTCCTAATAACTGAAGGGATGAATGCTACACAGGAAAGTATCAGAGTACCCAGCAACAACCAGGGAACCAATCTCAAAATTCTCCACCTCAGCCAGAGGAAGATTGGATGGGTGAAGGAAGCGATCTTGACACAGTAGAAGGCAGCAAGCAAGCTGGTTAACCAGAATGTAAGAATATTAGTGAACTCCCAGATGATTGCTATGTTCCAAAATGTGTAATTATAGTTAAAATAGGAGCCAAAATTGTTCAACACTGATGTCCACTGCAGACAGAAATGGCAGATGCCCAGGCTGATGAGGATCATTTCCACTGATGACAATCTTTTGACCTGCATCCACTTTCTGCCCAGCACTGCAACCATGAAGCTGCTTTGTGCAATTGTGGTCAAGGACTCAAGCACATAGATGATGATGAAGAAGATAGTCAGTTGGATGAGTATCATGCTTCTTTTTTGAAGTATCTTTCTGGACAAAGACTCAAAAGCTTTGTGCGAATTTCTAGGTAGAAAACAGGTTTCACTCCAGTACTGCCTGGTATAAAAAAAACACATCCCTCTGGATGCAAATTCACCCCAGATCATTTTTAAGTTTGTCATTTTCCTACCTACAGGATTTGTTTATGCTTTGCTTGCTGGTTTGTTCCTACATCTGGAGGCAGGGAAATGTTTTTTGAATGTGGATTCCTGCTCCTAAGATGATTTGATTATTGCCATGAAGGCATATCTATTTCATAACCATGCTGTTTATTTCCTCTTTATCTGTCTGAGGTGCCCTTAGATGATTTCCCCAGATTTTTTAAATGGTATCTTCATGAGTTTAGCCTACAATTTAAGCCATAGGAAAGAGAAATACTTCACTGTTCATTCATGGCCTGGATGATGCTTCCATTCTACTGAATGCTGTACCAGTGCTAACTTCAGAAGCCCTATCTACCAACTTACTCAACTGTAAGAGTAAATAAAAATTATAATGAAGTCTTTCCTCTGAGATTCCACCCACAAAATTGCTGGAATACAGTGCAGACCAATCTTGCAATTGTCTGCTGAATTTCATAACTTGGAGAAATCAAACCACAGAGACATCACTGCACATTTTCTTGAACTCCCTCCAATCAATATGCAGTATCCTTAGCTATTGTTCTGCCAATTCCAGTGCCTTGAGCATAAGCTTGCTATATTTTTGGAAATGGTTCTTCTCCTACTAACATCACTCTTTCTTCCTCCTCCTTTCATGGTTGGGTTCTTTTTGTCACTCCTCCTAGATGAAAGAGAGCACTTTTGCCACGAGTAAAGCACATTACTCCTAAATATGTGAGAATTATTTAATAGCTATAGAAGTAGGCTAGAGAAGGAATATCTTTTCCCTGGTTATGGATAACTATGTTAGGTAGGCACCAAATATGTAATTAGTATCTTCAGAAATGAGAGGTTACTTCCAACAATTATTGGTTGGTGAGTGAAGTCATAGACCCTATGTATGATACTCCAAGTCTGTGTGGATATTTCATCATTCAAGAAAGAGAAGACAGAAGTAATCCAACATGAAGCTTAGAATTTTTTAACATAAAGCCAAAAAGACCCCTGAACTCATGATACAAAAGACAATAGTTAAGGTTGGGGATGTAGCTCAGTTGGTAGAGTGTTTGCCTTGCATGTAAAAGGCCCTGGGTTCAATCCCCAGCACCACAAAAATTAAAATAAAAAAGACAATAGCTTAAAGAATTATTCCAGAGAATCAATTGAAATTAGAAAGCATCTGCTTTACATTCTCAGTAAAATAATAAATAAATAAATAAATAAATAAATAAATAAATAAAAGACAAAGCAGTCTGTGATTAAAAGATGAATTGGTTGAGTTGCATCCAGAAATAAGGAAGGAGAGATGAGATGTTCAGTGTTGATTAGTACAAATGCAGTGGCAGCATTAGCATCTGCCTTGTGTCCTCTTCACACCAAGCACATTGCTTCTTAGTTACACCGTCTCATTCTGAGTAACCTTAGCATGATTGTGATGCTCCAAGCCTCTGTCTGAATCATAGTCACCAGGCATGCTACAGCCCTCAGGGCTGGGTATCGGCCATAACAGTTTGACTAAGAGTAAGTCTCTGCTGAAAGCAGCCCTCATAGTGTGGCCTATAGGTGGAGAGATGGCCTGGCACTACTCTCCTTTGCAGGGGCACTTGATAGTGGCCAACTATTTAACCCAGATACTCTTTTGGTAGAGTTTGAATGTGAGACACAGAAAGTGAGTTCACAGACTGGTGTTTCATAGGGGAGGAGTTCAAATACTGGATTTTGTATTGTGTATGCATCTTAATACTCCAGAATAATCTTTGGGATCTCTGCCCTGCAATGTCCCCAACTCTGGCTTGCCCTCTTCCACTCTCCTTTAGCTCCTATCCTTGGTCCTTTCCCTTATCAGGTTGGGCATGGTTGCTCATGGTTGCTCATGAACCAGTGTTTGGTCAGGCACTGTTCTGGTGACTGGTGTCCAAATACAATCTGCAGTCAGACTGAAACTGTGGGAACTCAAGGCATTTTTGCCAAAAAGATGGGAAGGCAGGCTGTGTGCTGTCTCCATTCTGTCATTTCTCCAGTTCTTTTTCTTTCTTTCTTCCTAAAAAAAAAAAAAAAAAACTGGTTTTATTTTTTTTTATTATTTCTTACATACATCACAATAGAGGAGTGTATTACATTCATAATTTGTTGATGCACCTTTATTTTATTTATTTATATGCGGTGCTGAGAATTGAACCCAGTGCCTCACACATGCTCGGCAAGTGCCCTACCACTGAGTCACAACCCCAGCCCCTCCAGTTCTCTTTTTCAGACTTAAGCAAAAGCCCAGCGGTTTGTTTGATAATTTGATGTTCAACTGGAAAAATAATGTCAGTATCTCCTGAGAGGCATTATAATTGTCACTGTTAGAAGTTTTGCCTTTCCTCCTTCTCAGATTCCCTGGGAATATTGCTAACCTGCTTTAATATTTTATTCCCCTTGAGGGAAGCTTAGTGATTTTTTTATTTGCAAATTTTGATAAGAATAACTTACCTAAATCTGGATTTCACAACTAGTAAGCAAATATTACACATATAAACATGCATACCCAAACACATACACATGTAGTTCTTGGAACTAATCATTATATGAGTCTCTCTCTCTCTCTCTCTCTCTACACACACACACACACACACACACACACACATTTCATCAAAAGCAAGGAAAATTAGCCAAAGGGTAAGAAATAATAGCAATAATTTTACAAAGAGATGGTTACCCTTACTAGCAATCAGAAAAACACAAACAGTCCATCACAATGAAAACGCAAAATAAGACGTGGAGAATGTCAATTCTAAAAGAAGACATCAGGAAAACAGAAGGCTTTATGCACTGCCAGAGGGAATATAAATTAATAAAGTTCCATTGATAAACAGCATAGTCATTTTAACAAAAAAATATAGATCATATTCCACAGTCATTACTTTTAGGTATACACTATATATTATAGGGAGACTTTTACACTGTTACACATATCAACAAAGGAGAAGTTTATGATTCTATTCGTTTCAGAATTGTTCATAAGACCAAAGGCCTGTAAACTACATAAAGGGACAACAGTTGAGCAATGAGCTGTGGTGTATTCATATGGTAGCATACAACAGACATTTGTTTGCTTTTGCAAAAGTTAATTTACTACATGTTCTCCACTGGCAGAACATGCCTCTTGCCGAAGAGGTTTAAATGCCAGATTCTTAGTTTAATGCTTCCCTTGAATATTTGTTTTGGGCATGAAGATCAATTCTGGGCACTGGGAATAGAGGAGAAGCCTGTGAAAAATATTTCTCTCTGATAATCATAGAAGAGAAATTTCACAAGGAGAAATCCTTTTCTCTTTTCATCCTGCATGTTATCCAGTAGTGTGTATGATGTTGGGAGCCGTGGCAGCCTTTCTGTGACCCTGTGAGGAAGCGAGGAGACATGCAAGGAACACAGAGTCTCAAATTGTTGTGTGTTTAATAATACTAGACCAAACTACCTCTAAAATACTTTTTTTGTGTGTGAGCAAAACATATTCTAACAGTTTAAGCCACCTAGAGACCTTGGGATTGAGCATGGGGGATAATGCCAAGGACAGGAGGAGAAAGTGTCTTAGGCTGTAGTATTTTTTATCTTGCTGAGAGTATTCCCCACCGGAATTCATGAGAAGTCAAACTAGTCTGGGGGGAATCCACATCACCATGGTTTGGTTGCTCCCAGCAAGTTAAAACCGCAGAACAAGAAATAGGACATTAAACAGCTGCCCTTGGAGAAAGGAGATCTTAGAGGAGCCCTGGCTTTTAGGCAGAGAGAGGTCAGAGTAAGTTTTGCCAGCAAGAGATAGAACAATCACTTTTTCATGTGATTTTTTTTTTTTTTGGTTCAACTTATGGAATTTTCAGGAAAAGATGCCAACTCTGGCAAATGCAAGGACAACTGAATTTCTCATCAAACTGTAAAATAAAGCACCTCTGGGTCTGGTTCTTGTAAGAGGAGCAATTGAGAAACAGTCTCAGGAGCTGACTTGAAAAGAAGAGAAAATCAGGTGTGGCCCTTGTGGGGAAGCTCAAACCATCCTAAGTCTAGAATATGTAATAGAACATATATTTGAAACTCTTGAACACAGGGCAAAAAGTTCTCTTTTACATGTGTTAACCTGTTTTAGAGCTTGAAAAAAAATTCCACAAATTGTTATGGTATAGATTTTTCAAAGGTTAATACTAGTTCAAGTAAGTCATAAGGAGAATAATTTCTAGCAAAACTGTACTTGAAAATATTACCTTCACTAGAGACATGAGCTTTATCCCCCGCCACACACACATACTACCAAAATCTAGTTTTAATGGGGGGATAGAACTAGAGAAAATAGAAGATAGAAATGCAAGCAAGAGGAACAGAATTAAGAGGAAGCATCAGTTCAGATGTAGAGGGACTAAAGGCAACACATTATCTCAGCCTCCATAACTGAAACCTTAAGTGAAATCTAGGGTACAGGATATGTAGTCTTTGCCTTTAGGCAGAAGGGTCTTTCAGGAGCTCCTGGGAGGAGGGACTGAATGAATTGCCTGTTTTCCTAAAAAAGCTATGTCCTTGTGGGTAGGCATAGGATTCCTGGGGTAAAAAACACTGATTCAGAAATGGAGAATGTCTTAGAAGAAAACTGAAGCTGGAAATTTCACACATCTTCTCAATTATCTTTATATTCCTAATGCTACATAATCCTTTGTCTTCAGATTTTGTATTGACCTGGCTGGCACCCAGAAACGTACCTGACTACATTAGGAAAAATGAGGCCCAATATGGAAAACTGTAACTGTAAGGGAAAGTGAGAGGCTTTCCCCCATATTTAAGTACATGTTTTCATTTTACATATATGAAAGTGAAAAAAAAAATCCCCTGAAGAGATT